GTAAAGATAACTCGATCAATATATCTGATTTATACAAAGTCAACTATTTGTATAAGTGATTAATATCAAACATACTTTAAAAGAAATTGTGTAAAAAGTGAGTGTCTACGGTAATTAAACGGACAAAACTGCATTTAATTTTAATTTTTGAAAGTAACAAAATGGTAATGAATAGTAATAGAAATTCATAAGTTGAATTTTTTTTCACAAACATTTATCTATATGCTATGGTAATGTGTGTAAATAAATGTTTACAATCTATTTTGGCTGCCATCAATTATCTCATGAATTAGCAAAAATATTAATATCTTAAATCAAATAAAGGTAACTTACAACACAATTCTCAAAAAGTAGGGTGTAGAGTTTTTTAATAATCACTTTAAATTTATTTATTGAATTTAAAATATTGGAATGTAGAATTTTTAGTTTTTTTACATCTTACTTACAATTGTACAAGAAGACCTCACAAAAAGTTTAGTTCAGAACATTTTTTACCTTGTCATACAGGTAACTAACTCATACAGGTAAACTTAGCTAAAGGTTATACAAATGTACATGCATATTTTGAATGAATATGGAAATGAATTTCACAGAAAAGTGCATTTTTTCCCCCTTTGTAGTTACAATTTTGGTAAGTTATGATAATGAATGGGTATGATAATTCCTCCACAACTCATTGGTGATTTTAAGGAGCTTTCGTAAAGAAGGTTTGGACAAACTCGGACGTTTAATCAATGGTGATGGCTTCCTGAGGGGATTCTCCTGTCACTTCAGTACTTAATTGCCGAAGTCTGAACATCATTTCAGTTCTCTGGGGAATACCGGATTTCATGGGTAATAAAATAAAAAACGTTTTCCGAGATTGTTTGAGTATTACAGACACTTGATATATTTATTTATACTAGTAAGGCATTCATCAGAAGACTTATCATGTTAGTTTTGAGGAAGATATAAGTTTAGAAAATGAAAAAAAAATTGTTGTATATTTCCAAAATTGATGATGTTCCTGATAAAAAAAATAAAAAATCAGAGGTATACATACGGTGAAATCCATATTGTACTGTAGTGGTGTAAATAATATTGTTACCTGTAATTTTATCCCTAGCTCATTACCTGTTGTGGTTTGGATGTTTTGACTAAGTGATGTTTTATGTTGTAATAACCTGTAGTACGTACAGTATACAACCTAATAAGTGCGCCTCATTCTTTTTTTTCCTCTGATCTGAGGGTCGTATCCCTTTAATTTGACTTACTTACCGGTGTAGCATGGTATGGTGAAGCATGGTGAAATGAACCGCAGTTCATATTACCATTATGGTAATAATGACATGATGAAATAAAGGCTGCCATCAGTTTCTATTCTGACAACCTTTTTTCATTCATTTTCTTTAAGTGTACTTCAATTTGATGTATTCTATCTGAAAGTCACAACAATTAAGTCTGGGGTAGATAATTTAGGGTGGGGCAGGGGGGCTTCACTTTACCTTAATGGTGAAATTGAAAAAAAAAAGGGAATGTTATGGCTATTTTTGAGAATTTTTTAAGATTTTACTTTCATTCATTCAGTTTTCCCAAATTGCTAAGCGTCCAGGGAACTTATGGGGTCAGATACGGTAGTTTAGCCTGTAGTACTGTGTTACTTTACATATAGCCTCTGATAATCTCTAAAGCCTGATTCTGATACTGTAGTCATCAAGTACAACTTTCATTTTGTAAACATTTCCTACTGAGTACTAGCTATGTGAATTAGCCTGTTATCTGACTGGGATAGTGCTAGCTATAGTGTGACCTTTCTGGGGTGATTTAAGCCTACCGGTAGTTAGTATATCGGTGGCAGCGTCATGGGGTTATTAGGTTATTATTGTAGTTATCTAAAGCTAATATTTCCATACAAGTTTTAGATGGAATAATCTGTATGAATAAATGCTAGTTTTTATCGAAACATATATAAGCGATAACAGGTCTCAAATTAATTTAGAAAGGAATTCAAGATGATATCTCAAAAATATTATCCAGTCATATTAAAAATATAAGCTATTTGCTTTTAAATGTTTGACATCAGTCAACATCCCGACAATGCTACCCGTCTGATGACTGTTTGCTGTATACAGTGTCAGTATATATAGGAACCTTCCCCCACTGCAGGCAAAGCACATGGGGCAGTATTCATAAAACCATTCTCATGCTCAAGCATGGATTTTGTGCCAAATTTCTTGTTCCCCGTATAAATTTATATTTTTTTTTTCTTAATTTTGTTATTGATTTGGAAAAACATTGAAGATACTGTAATTAATCTGATCAATACTGTTTTCAGTGTTTATATTTGACTTTTTGATCATTTGAAATGATTTAAGCGAGTTATATAATTACAAGAAAATTGGTTTGAGCACAGAATTAATGCTTGAACATGAGAACGGTTTCATGAATACAGGCCCAGAGACTTTCACTGTGGTAATTTATCTTATATACAGTAACCTCCCCTTAATTTCAATTTGCATGTATTTGTAGCACAATTGGACCATAGCACAATCGTTGATCAGGTAGCTAACTGTGGTTAGAGTACCAGTATAACGGTTTAACGTCCAGGGTTCGAACCCTGGTCTAGCCCCACTGAAATTTTACACTCATCACCAGGTATTTTTTTTCTTTCGGAAATGTTTTATCGAAGCTGTAGTCATATTTGAAGAATCTGCTTCAACTGCATATAGTTCAAGTTTTCGGCAGTGGTATGGGGAACCTTAACTGCCTTGATGCTGTATACAGACTGTTCTGCTCTAAACTGACACAGCAGGTGACAATCTAAATGTTTGATGGCTTCTTTACACCAGACTATCCCCAAAATTCTGACTGTCGTGCGTGGTACTTACCAAGTTACACCTTTTTACCGCAGCAGTGCACAGAAAATCCTGTGTTTCTATTAAGTGATTAATCAGCCAGTCCTTACAAGCACTGTGATGAACCCGATCAGCTATTGCTGTTCTAATGAAGGCCTATATTTCTTGACATGTTACTGTACCTATAAAGGTCAGAAGTGTATTTTCTCTACCTAGAGAGGTCAGAGGTGACAGTATTACTGTACCTAGAAAGGTCAGAGGTGACAGTATTACTGTACCTAAAGAGGTCAGTCAGGGATGACAGTGTTACTGTATCTAGAGAGGTCAAAGGTGACAGCATTACTGTACCTAGAGAGGTCAGGGGTGACAATGTTACTGTACCTAGAGAGGTCAGTGGTGACAGCATTACTGTACCTAGAGAGGTCAGGGGTGACAGTATTACTGTACCTAGAGAGGTCAGAGGTGACAGTGTAACTGTACCTAGAGAGGTCAGAGGTGATAGTTTTACTGTACCTAGAGAGGTCAGGGGTGACATTATTACTGTACCTAGAGAGGTCAGAGGTGACAGTATTACTGTACCTAGAGAGGTCAGGGGTGACAGTATTACTGTACCTAGAGAGGTCAGAGGAGATAGTGTTACTATACCTAGAGAGGTCAGGGGTGACATTATTACTGTACCTAGAGAGGTCAGAGGTGACAGTATTACTGTACCTAGAGAGGTCAAAGGTGCTAGTTTTACTGTACCTAGAGAGGTCAGGGGTGACAGTGTTACTGTACCTAGAAAGGTCAGAGGTGATAGTTTTACTGTACTTAGAGAGGTCAGGGGTGACAGTGTTACTGTACCTAGAGAGGTCAGAGGTGATAGTTTTACAGGTACAGGTCAGAAGTGCATTTTCTACCTAGAAAGGTCAGCAATGATTTAAGCTTGTTTCCTGATTTTCCCAAACAAATTTAAAGCCTGCCCAGATCAGCAATAGACATCTGAGAGGCACACAGCACTTTTGCATAACAGTACTGCACTGATCGATCCTGGTTAGCGGGAAATAAATGCTGATGCACTTTCCAATTTTTTTAACATTATTTTTTAGGGACAGCAATGACACAGGAAACCACTTCGGCATAGCATGGATGAATATGAATTTATTCGGAGAAAATGTGTATTTGTTGGTCTGTCAGAATGGTGCACATTGAGGATTTGAATTTTGTCTTGTGAAGATGATTTTAAATTGCAGTATTTTACACAGCAAGATAAAAGGTGTCGTGCTTGAGGTCTTGGTGTGTGTGAAGTAACTGTTAGGGGGGGACAAGTCACCTCAATAATCGTTTATTTACACCGAGTCTTACCTAATAAATCACTGTTATAATAGGCAAGGATCTGTTTAGCACTGATTCTATTAGAACTTAAATCTGTTAAATCTGTAGGGCTTCTGTATGTGGCAATGACGTTAATTCAAATCAGCAGTAAATGGTTCGTCTATTTCTGAATATAATATTTGTGTCAACCCTTTGTGTTAAATGTGTTGGGTCTCGGGCCCCCAAATTCCTTCCTTTTGTGTACCCCTTAAGGCAGACTATTTCCATAATATATCAATTTACAAACAATTTTACAGCTTCCGAGATAATTAATGGATATATTAGGCATGGAGGGGGCATCTTTTAGGTTTGCAGAATTAAAACTGCAGACAGCTAATTGTTCACAGCTGAATATATAGGAGACATGTGATTTTGTTGTGAGGAGTAGAAAACATAGGATATATTTCTTGTTTTGCAAGAAAGGGACAAAAAATCAATGAAAAACACATTAATTTAAATTGAAACAAAGATTTTCTTTTTGCTGTTACATGTACACTGTTCATTATACTGATTTTGAGAAGATCTCTTTAAATCTTAAAGTTGAAGTAAAAAGGTCACTGTTGATTTTTTGTTTCATGTAAAGTTTATTTCTACAGTAGAGATGCCATTTTAGTGTCTGTATTGTGAGGTCGCTGAAGACTTGACATTTCACTAAATGAGTGGTATATATATATCATGAAGCCATGCAGAAGTAAAACTAGACAGCAGGGATTTATACTGATGTGGTCTTGTTTTGCTATCAATCTAGAGATATGAAAATACTAAATGTGAATGACAGATATTTCAAGCATTAACTTCTGTTTTACATTTCAGGTTGGAGCTAGATGAAGACAATGGAAGCCATGCCGTTGTCAAAGACACTAGTGTGCTTGTTGTGTCTGGTGCAGACGGTCACGGCCATGCACATCGTTCATACATTCCGGGATTTGCATAAAGACACCACTCTACAAAACTTAAAAGTGGACAAAAATTCTGGGGATGTTTTCGTTGGTGCTACGAATGCGTTGTATCGTTTTTCACCAGATCTCAGCTCATTTACAAAGGTCGCTATTGGACCAAGGGTAGACAACCCACACTGTCCTCCGCCGATGTTACCATGCAATGACACAAAGAAATCAACGAACAGCTTCTCAGAAGGGATTGCAATTGATTACAAGGATAATACTCTTATTTCATGCATAAGTCTTTTTCATGGAACGTGCCAAATTCGCCAACTGCAAAACATTTCTTGGATTGTGAAAGAATTGTTTAAACCGTCCGTCCCGAATAACCCGGTAAAATCTAGTCTTGTTTTCATCGCTCCAGGTGTCGAGGGTAAGAATGCCTTGTACATTGGAGCTTCCTACAGTAACCTTGGAAACAAAAAATATCGTGCCCTAGTTCCTCACATTAGTAGTAGAAATCTTGAGACCCTTGATTTTTCGTACGTCGATTCGTTGGGTGGCACCAAGATAAGTATCTTACCTGAAGTGCGATTGGATATTCCTGTCGAATTCCTATACGGCTTCCCATACGGAGGATTTGTGTACTTCATTGCACGCCAATACAAGTCAGCCATTGAATATATGTTTGTTACCAAAATAATTCGGATTTGTCAAAGTGATAAATATTTCAGTTCGTACACAGAAATCGAGCTCACTTGTCAACCCCAGTACGACTTTGCTAGAGGTGCTTACTATGATGAGTCGACCAGGAAACTTTACGTAGTGTTTGAGAATAATGAGTTCGACCTGGATGGACCTTCCGCTGTCTGTGGATACAACATGGCCGAAACTGAACGTATTTTTAACCTTACAGTAGAAGAGTGTTTCAATGGTGATGGAAATCTTGGACCATCCCACATCCGGAATACTGTTCCTTGTCCTCCAAAGGTATGTACCAGACAGTCAATTTCTACCACTGGGCTTCCATACATAAGTTAAATTGCTACAACTAAGCCTCTATGTGGGTCCTGTGGTGGTAGTAATATGATATCTAAATTACATTGGAAACTCTAAGCTTCACATTAATATTGGCAGTGTAAATATTGTACATCCACACAAAAGACAAGCGTCAGAGGTGACAGTGTTACTGTACCAAGAGAGGTCAGGGGTGACATGTTACTGTACCTATAAAGGTCAAATGTGACTGTGACTATACCAAGAGATAAAGGTCAGAGGTGACAGTGTTACTGTACCCACAGGTACAGGTCAGAAGTGCATTTTCTCTACCTAGAGAGGTCAGAGGTGACAGCATTACTGTGCCTAGAAAGGTCAGAGGTGACAGTGTTACTGTACCAAGAGAGGTCAGGGGTGACATGTTTCTGTACCTATAAAGGTCAACTGTGACTGTTACTATACCAAGAGGTAAAGGTCAGAGGTGAAAGTGTTTCTATACCTAGAGAGGTCAGAGGTGACAGGGTTACTTATAATACCTAGAGAGGTCAGTGGTGAAAGTGTTTCTGTACCTAGAGGGGTCAGAGTGATGTCAGAGGTTACAGTGTTACTTTACTGAGAGAGGTACGAGGTAATAGCTAGTGTTACTATATACCAAGAGAGGTCAGAGGTGATAATGTTACTATATATACCTAGAGAGGTCAGAGGTGAAAGTGTTACTTTACCTAGAGAGGCCAGAGGTGAAAGTGTTACTATACCTAGAGAGGCCAGAGGTGACAGGGGTACTATACCTAGAGAGGTCAGAGGTGAAAGTGTTACTATACCTAGAGAGGCCAGAGGTGACCGTGTTACTATACCTAGAGAGGCCAGACGTGACAGTATTACTATACCTAGAGAGGCCAGAGGCGAAAGGGTTACTATACCTAGAGAGGCTAGAGGTGAAAGTGTTACTATACCTAAGTGTTTCTATACCTAGAGAGGTCAGAGGTGACAGGGGTACTATACCTAGAGAGGCCAGAGGTCCTAGAGAGGCCAGAGGTGAAAGTGTCACTTTACCTAGAGAGGCCAGAGGTGACAGGGGTACTATACCCAGAGAGGTCAGAGGTGAAAGTGTTACTATGCCTGGAGAGGCCAGAGGTGAAAGTGTTACCATACCTAGAGAGGCCAGAGGTGACAGGGGTACTATACCCAGAGAGGTCAGAGGTGAAAGTGTTACTATACCCAGAGAGTCCAGAGGTGACAGTGTAAGTATACCTAGAGAGGCCAGAGGTGATAGTGTGACTATACCTAAAGAGGCCAGAGGTGAAAGAGTTACTATACCTAGAGAGGCCAGAGATGAAAGGGGTACTATACCTAGAGAGGCCAGAGGTCCTAGAGAGGCCAGAGGTGAAAGTGTTACCATACCTAGAGAGGCCAGAGGTGAAAATGTTACTATACCTAGAGAGGCCAGATGTGAAAGTGTTACTATACCTAGAGAGGTTAGAGGGGACAGTGTTACTATACTTAGAGAGGCCAGAGGTGACAGTGTTACTAGACCTAGAGAGGCCAGAGGTGAAAGTGTCACTTTACCTAGAGAGGCCAGAGGTGACAGGGGTACTATCCCTAGAGAGGTCAGAGGTGAAAGTGTGACTATACCTAGAGAGCCCAGAGGTGAAAGTGTTACTATACCTTGAGAGGCCAGAGGTGAAAGTGTGCCTATACCTAGAGAGGCCAGAGGTGAGAGTGTTACTATACCTAGAGAGGCCAAAGGTGACAGTGTTACTCTACCTAGAGAGGTCAGAGGTGAAAGTAGGCCAGAGGTGACAGTGTTACTATACATACCTAGAGAGGTTAGAGGTGACAGTGTTACTATACTCAGAGAGGCCAGAGGTGACAGTGTTACTAGACCTAGAGAGGCCAGAGGTGAAAGTGTTGCTATACCTAGAGAGGCCAGAGGTGACCGTGTTACTATACCTAGAGAGGCCAGATGTGAAAGTGTTACTATACCTAGAGATGCCAGAGGTGACAGTATACCAAGAGAGGTCAGAGGTGATAATGTTACTATATATACCTAGAGAGGTCAGCGGTGAAAGTGTTACTTTACCTAGAGAGGCCAGAGGTGAAGGTGTTACTATACCTAGAGAGGCCAGATCTAGAGGTGAAAGTGTTACTATACCTAGGTGACTGTTACTATACCAAGAGGTAAAGGTCAGAGGTGAAAGTGTTTCTATACCTAGAGAGGCCAGAGATGAAAGGGGTACTATACCTAGAGAGGCCAGAGGTGTCAGTGTTACTATACCTAGAGAGGCCAAAGGTGACAGTGTTACTATACCTAGACCTAGAGAGGTCAGAGGTGAAAGTGTGACTATACCTAGAGAGCCCAGAGGTGAAAGTGTTACTATACCCAGAGACGCCAGAGGTGACAGTGTAACTATACCTAGAGAGGCCAGAGGTGAACGTGTTACTATACCTAGAGAGGCCATAGAGAGGTCAGAGGTGAAAGTGTTAATATACCTAGAGAGGCCAGAGGTGAATGTGTCACTATACCTAGAGAGGCCAGAGATGAAAGGGGTACTATACCTAGAGAGGCCAGAGGTGAGTGTTACTATGCCTAGCTAGTGTTACTATATACCAAGAGGGGGCAGAGGTGGTAATGTTAGTATATATACCTAGAGAGGGCAGAGGTGAAAGTGTTACTTTACCTAGAGAGGCCAGAGGTGACAGGGGTACTATACCCAGAGAGGTCAGAGGTGAAAGTGTTACTATGCCTGGAGAGGCCAGAGGTGAAAGTGTTACCATACCTAGAGAGGCCAGAGGTGACAGGGGTACTATACCCAGAGAGGTCAGAGGTGAAAGTGTTATTATACCTAGAGAGGCCAGAGGTGAAAATGTTACTATACCTAGAGAGGCCAGATCTAGAGGCGAAAGTGTTACTATACCTAGAGAGGCCAAAGGTGACAGTGTTACTCTACCTAGAGAGGTCAGAGGTGAAAGTAGGCCAGAGGTGACAGTGTTACTATACCTAGAGTGGCCAGAGATGAAAGTGTTACTATACCTAGAGAGGCCAGAGGTGACAGTATTACTATACCTAGAGAGGCCAGAAGTCAAAGTGTTAATATACCTAGAGAGGCCAGAGGTGAAAGTGTTACTATACCTAGAGAGGTTAGAGGTGACAGTGTTACTATACTTAGAGAGGCCAGAGGTGACAGTGTTACTATACCTAGAGAGGCCAGAGGTGAGGGTTATTATACCTAGAGAGGCCAGAGGTGAAAGGGTTACTATACCTAGAGAGGCCAGAGGTGAGCGTTATTATACCTAGAGAGGCCAGAGGTGAAAGGGTTACTATACCTAGAGAGGCCAGAGGTGAGTGTTATTATACCTAGAGAGGCCAGAGGGAAATGTGTTACTATACCTAGAGAGGCCAGAGGCGAAAGGGTTACTATACCTAGAGAGGCCAGAGGTGAGCGTTATTATACCTAGAGAGGCCAGAGGTGAGAGTTACTATACCTAGAGAGGCCAGATCTAGAAGTGAAAGTGTTACTATACCTAGAGAGGCTAGAGGTGAAAGTGTTATTATACCTAGAGAGGTCAGAGGTGAAAGTGTTGCTATACCTAGAGAGGCCAGAGGTGAAAGGGTTACTATACCTAGAGAGGCCAGAGGTGACAGTATTACTATACCTAGAGTACTATACCTAGAGAGGTCAGAGGTGAAAGTGTGACTATACCTAGAGAGGCCAGAGGTGAAAATGTTACTATACCTAGAGAGGCCAGAGGCGAAAGGGTTACTATACCTAGAGAGGCCAGAGGTGAGTGTTATTATACCTAGAGAGGTCAGAGGGGAAAGTGTTACTATACCTAGAGAGGCCTAGAGAGGCCAGAGATGAAAGTGTTACTATGCCTAGAGAGGCCAGAGGTGAAAGTGTTACCATACCTAGAGAGGCCAGAGGTGAAAGTGTTACTATACCGAGAGAGGTCAGAGGTGAAAGTGTTGCTATACCTAGAGAGGCCAGAGGTGAAAGGGTTACTATACCTAGAGAGGCCAGAGGTGATAGTGTTACTATACCTAGAGAGGCCAGAGATGAAAGGGGTACTATACCTAGAGAGGCCAGAGGGGAAAGTGTTACTATACCTAGAGAGGCCTGAGGTGACAGTGTTACTATACCTAGAGTGGCCAGAGGTGAAAGTGTTACTATACCGAGAGAGGTCAGAGGTGAAAGTGTTGCTATACCTAGAGAGGCCAGAGGTGAAAGGGTTACTATACCTAGAGAGGCCAGAGGTGAGAGTTACTATACCTAGAGAGGCCAGATCTAGAAGTGAAAGTGTTACTATACCTAGAGAACTATACCTAGAGAGGCCAGAAGTCAAAGTGTTAATATGCCTAGAGAGGCCAGAGGTGAAAGTGTTACCATACCTAGAGAGGCCAGAGGTGAAAGTGTGACTATACCTAGAGAGGCCAGAGGTGAAAGGGTTACTATACCTAGAGAGGCCAGAGGCGAAAGGGTTACTATACCTAGAGAGGCCAGAGGCGAAAGGGTTACTATACCTAGAGAGGCCAGAGGTGAGGGTTATTATACCTAGAGAGGCCAGAGGTGAAAGGGTTACTATACCTAGAGAGGCCAGAGGTGAGTGTTATTATACCTAGAGAGGTCAGAGGTGAAAGTGTTGCTATACCTAGAGAGGCCAGAGGTGAAAGGGTTACTATACCTAGAGAGGCCAGAGGTTAGTGTTATTATACCTAGAGAGGCCAGAGGTGAAAGTGTTAATATACCTAGAGAGGCCAGAGGTGAAAGGGTTACTATACCTAGAGAGGCCAGAGGTGATAGTGTTACTATACCTAGAGAGGCCAGATCTAGAAGTGAAAGTGTTACTATACCTCCTAGAGAGGCCAGAGGTGAAAGTGTTACCATACCTAGAGAGGCCAGAGGTGAAAGTGTTACTATCCCTAGAGAGGTCAGAGGTGACAGTGTTACTATACCTAGAGAGGCCAGAGGTGAGTGTTATTATACCTAGAGAGGCCA